AGATAAAGTCTCTTAATAAGAGTAAAACATGGTCTTTAACCAAGATACCATAAGGAAAGAAGGTTTTGGAAACATATGAGTCTATAGGTTAAATGAAGAACAAGACGATAATAAAATATATAAGGTTAGGCTCATAGTGAAAGGGTCCAACAAAAACAAGGAAATTACTTTACAAAAAATTTCTCTCCTATTGTCAAGATGACTACCATAAGAATCATCTTAAGTATAGTAGTGGTAGAAAATCTTTATCTAAAACAGTTATATGTCAAAATTGCATTCCTATATAGGGATCTTGAAGAGGAAATCTTTATGGCACAATCACAAGGTTTTGAAGCACAAGGTAAGGATAATCTTGTATGCAAGCTTCATAAAATCTTGCATGGATTGAAACAAACACTAAGACAATGGTACAAGAAGTTTAATAAGTTTATGAGAAATTGAGTTTTTTTACAGATGTGAAGAAGATCATTATTGTTATGTGAAAAAACATATTGATAGTTATACGATCATTGCTTTATATGTTGATAACATGTTGATTGTAGGAGTAATATGGCAAAAATTAACAGGTTGAAAAAGCAATTGTTAGAAAACTTTGAAATTGAGGATCTTGGTCCAGCCAAACAAATTATTGGTATGAGAATCTCCAAGGATAGATCTAAAATTATATTGAACATATGTCAGGAGAAATATATAGAAAAATTGCTTAATATACTCAACGTTGGAAATGCTAAAATCAGGAATACACATTTGGGAACTCACTTAAAGTTTTTAAAAGGGCAATCTTCTTAAACAAATGAAGAAGAAAGTTACATGTCTAAAGTTCCATATGCATCTGCAGTGGGGAGCTTGGTGTATGTTATGGTTTGCACTAGACCTGACATAGTACATGCAGTAGGAGTTGTGAGTAAGTTTCTATCAAATCATAGAAAGAAGTATTGGGAAGGTATGAAGTGGATATTGAGATATTTGAGGGGCACTTCAAAGATGCATTTGTCTTTTAGAAGAAGTAATCTCACTTTACAAGATATTTCTAATGTAGACTTGGAGAAGATCTAGATAGTAGAAAGAGCACAACATGTTACATTTTTACGTTGGGTGGTACAACTATCAGTTGGAAGTCTAAACTTCAAGGAAGAGTCTCCCTCTCAACCACTAAAGCTGAGTATGTAGCTATCTCAGAAGCAGCGAAGGAGATGATATGATTAAAGAACCTTCTAAAAGAATTAGGAAAAAAGCAAGATGACCCTCCATTGTACAATAATAGTCAAAGTGCTATATATCATGCTAACAATCTAATTCTTCATTCTAGATGCAAGTACATTGAATTGAAGTATCATTTTATTAGAAACTTGATAAATGATGGAGACACGTCTTTGTCAAAGATTCCAGGTGAAGAGAATCTAGCTTATATGTTGATCAAGATTATTACAACAAATAAGTTGATGCTTTGTATTGGTTCAATTAGCCTTCAAGAGTAACTGATGATAAATGCAATTACACTAGATGATATATGTAAATCAAACTCCAAGTGAAAGAACTGTTAGTATTGTGGAGCTTAATTTAGTTTCACATAATTTAGTATTGTGATATATTCTCTATTTAGTAATATAAACAACTCTATGTAAAGCTTGAAAGACAAATGTGTGTATATATATGTATATATATACACATATATATGTATATATATACACATATATATGTACATATATACACATATATGTACATATATACACATATATGTGTATATATATAAATATATAAACATATATGTACATATATATGTGTATATATATACATATATATGTGTATATATATGTATGTATATATATATATATACATATATATATATATATATATGTATGTATGTATGTATATAATACTTCCTAGTGTAGTATGGATGTAGACGTCTCAAACATTTGTACTCTAAACCACATTAAATTCTTTTGTTGTTTATTTTTTTTCTCTTTTCTTTTATTGTCTTGTTCCTAACACTTATCTCTTAAGGATGATGACAAATCTATTCCAACATCTAAAATTGGGTCCTTCAAACATAAGTTGATACTATAGTTTATATTTCCTTAATATATCAAGATCTACAAAAACACAACTTTCTTGAAAGATTATGATTGTGCCATTCAAATCCCATAAAAGAGTATATGTTCCTACAAAAATGTACCTTAGAAGTCACTATAACTTGTCAAGAGTTCTTGCTAATACTTTAATCCATCATGTTCACCAAAAGATTAAGAATTGCAATGCATAATAAGAGGAGATTGTTCAATAGAAGATTAAATTCAAAGCTCACTCTGAATATCTTATAGTAGTAATAAATGACAACGCTAACTCTAAAGTTGAAGCAAACAACAACTAAAATATAAGCAAAAGCTAAAACAAAGGCAAATGTTGACACCACTAAGACTTAAAAAAATTAATATAAAAGAAATAAGATTTTTATTCAATTAATTTCATTTGAAACAACACACCAACCTCTATATATAGAACTTAGTTATGTAGTAATAATTATAAAGAAATCCTAACAACTTCCAACAATTTATAATAGTACACTTAATACCATATTGACAACATAAAGATAAACACAAATGTTGAAGTTGTTGCAAAAAGAAGTTGAAGTTCTTATAAAAGATGTCAATGTTTAACATCCTTATTAGACATGTTATATCTTTCACTCCCCTAAATAGTCAAACATTGCCACTAATGCTACACATACACATGTATATGTTTGTGTATTTTTTACATTATTTGCTTAGACACATTTAAACATTTATATTAAACTCGTTAGAGTCTCATCTTTTAATACATTATCATATTACAAGTATTTCAATGTTTATTGTATATCGAATGTCTTTCTTTTATTTCCTATGATATTTGATTTTTGTGCTATGATATATCTCATATTATGATATAATTACACTACTATTTTTTATGCTTTCATCTTTTTATAAACTTTGATTTCTCTATAATATTGATCACATGTTTTATATGATATATCCTTTATAGTATCTATTAAATGATTTATGGATTACTAAAGTAGGCAAATGTTGAACAAACATACATGCTTCAATGGTATTTTTCTAGGCATATATAAATAAAGCTTACTTCACAAAAAAAAAAAAAGAAAAAACTAATATCCTATCCATGGTTCAATGTGACAAATAAAAAAAAAAGTGAAAAAACTTTTAATTGCTAAAATAATAACTCATAATAAATGACTTTGGGATGGTGAACTTGTCATCCTTTATACAATAAGTGTTAAAACCATTTATATTTTGTTGTGAGAACTTTCTTATAATATTGTTAAACAACTTTTCTTGTACAACAACAAATAACATTGAATATTAAAAAAATGACAAAAAAAACTTAGTTATTGAAAAAATATCTATTTGTTTTCTTATGTAGATACAAGGATAGTTAAAAATAAATTTGTACATAAAAATATAAAATTACTTAAAAAGAAAATTGGACATAATCCAATAATAAATTAGTACAAAAGTAAAAAGAAAATATTATAAGTCTAATATTTATGAATTACTTAAAAATAAAATTAATAACTATTTAAAGATTTTTTTATAATATCGTTTTATAATTTCTCAAGTCTCATATTACATATTTTGAAAAATAATAGTTATTAATTTTTATACCATTAAACATTCTTTTGAAAGTTGAAAACTGATTGAATTTTTTCCCAAAACATTCTAAAAATTGTATTTAACCCGTCTTCTAAAACTTAACCTTTTCTTTTATTTAATTTAACTCCTATTCCAGAGCTAATTTTTATTTTATTTTATTTATGTTTATGCACTCCAATGTTAGAAGCATAGGGTGGAACAAAACCAATTTCATAGTCTCAATATCTCTTTTGTTGAAAGACCTTCTCAATTAGTCCATTGAAAAAAATAAAAATGTCCAAGAAAGCACTAACCTTTTCTACTTAGTTTCTGAGATTTCTAATTACTCATATACTAAAATTTTGACTTCTAAAACATAAATGTTTGATATGTTTATTAAATGACTTTTATTTCTAAAATTCAATCAATTTAATATTAACTTTTGTTAGAAACTATAAAATTGATTTAGTGATAAAAATTAAAAAAATATGAGAAAAATAGTGAGTTCAATTTTTTTCATTAACATTTGATAAATATAAAATTAATTTGAAACATAAAAAAAGAAAAGGGTTGAATTTAACTTTTTCACCTATAAAATTAACTAACATTTTCCTATAATTTTGTTTGGAATATTTGTTTTAAGCAACTTAAACTTTCTCAAGTACCTTCTCCTTGGCAGTGTCAACCTTCAAATTGTTATTCATGAGAAAAATTCACCTCAACACAATTTATAAATTAAATTACTTATAATTATACTATTAACAACTTTTTCAAACTTAACAGAAAAATAATTAGTTTTTAGACAATTTTCAATTCATTGAACCATGGTCAAACTAGTTTTTAGACAATTTTCAATTCATTGAACCATGGTCAAACGCCTTTATATTTAAGGGAATATATAAGTATAAGATACTTGTGCTACAGAATTAAACCTGGAATCATGCAGGAACAATTTCACACATAAAATATTCGCGTGCATGCTTGGAATAATTTATAGAAAACGTATTCTTTTATACTGATAAAAATATGTTAAGAAACTAAAAGGGTAGTTATAAATGAAAAAAAATATTTAATACTGATTCTAAAGATTTTAAAGTTATTTAATAAAAGTTATCTTAAAGTTATTTTTGAAAAAGAATTAAACTGAGATGCACCTAAGATGGTTCATCCTATGTTATGCAGAAGTGAAACTAGTTGAAAGCAGGGCACAGGGTTCAATGTTTCATTGCAACATTAAACTAAGTTGTATCTATCATTATCCTCTTCAGATAAAATTATTATATTAAACATTTGTTTTAGGCAAGTTTTTAGTTTAATAAATGCAAAAAACACATAGTTTTATGGACACCAAATGACCTTTAAATACAGTTGAATCCTCCACCTTCTCAAAGTCCCAAACCATTGAAGCCAATTTTCTCTCTCTTCGTTCTCTCAATCATTCTCTGCTCCTTTTCACTCTCTGGGGTCAGGGCCAATCATCGCCACGCTCTTGCTCTGCACCCTTCTCTCCTTCTCCCTAAAGATTCCCCATTCTGTTCCCATCACAGACATTACACATACACACTCCTGTTTCCTCCACTTGTTTGATTGCAACACGTTTTCTCTTCAATTTGTTGCCTACCCATTTGGTTTTAGGCGCCGAAGGACCGAATTGCTGTCCCCAAGCCCTTCCTTTCGGTCCCTTCCTAAAGCTCTAGGGTTTTCTGATCCCTTTTCAGGTATTTCGTGGGTTTTCTCTTGATTCACTGTTTTTGGATTTTTTAATGTTAAAATTTGATTCTTTTTTAAGTTTCTCCTTCTGGAGATGATGAATTGATGACTCGAGTTCTCTACTGGAATTTGCTTTGAGTGTGGCGGTTATGGGGATTGTGGGGGTTTCGGTTATGATTCTGCAGTGCGATGTTGCTGAAACTCTTTTAAATTTGTGGTTTTGGGTTGAAGGGTGGTTGTGGCAATCGGTCATGAGAAACGGGGTTGGTTTTTGTAATTATGATGATAAGTTGGTAACTTGCTGTGGTCGATCGTAACTGTTAGTATTTTATGCTCTTTTCCTCTTGCTTTGGGTGATGTTATCACGGTCTATGGACAGTAGTCTAACTAAAGGGGTTTTTCAATTTGGTCTCTTTATGATAGTCACTATCATTGCTCTTTGCTAGATGGATTAGATTGAAGCTGCTTCTGCTTTGGATGCTGCGAAATTGTGGGAAAGTTGGTGTCTTTGTTTTTTAGTTTTTCTCTTTTTGCCGATTATGGTTGTGGAATATCTGGAGAGCTTAATGTATATCTTTATACCTTGTATTCATGGAGTCAAAGAACAAGTTTCCTTTTTGTCTCAACATGCTTGAAGTCGATTGTGATGTTTCTCTGCTAATGAGTGGAATCTGTTGAAAAGAGCAACCCTTGGATAGAACTGCCTTTTGCACATGGGTTTGCTCTGTAGTTAACTTGTGTGATTGGCTTGATACTAACTTATTTGTCTGCACTTGCAACAAGGACACTGTTACGGTCTCCTGCATGGGATGCTTTAATTTCTTTTTCTCTTTGAAATTTTGTCATGGGTTTCAAGCTGTGATGCACGAATACTATCGGATATGATGATAGTATGATACACTTATTTTGAGAACAACAGTATACTATTGTTTAAAAATGTTTAAAATTTCTAAAACATAATAAATGTAAAATTGCAATTGTACGGGCCCAGACTAAAATTACATTTATTAGACATTGTAAAAATAAAAATTTATAAATTATTCTCATCCTAATAGTATTAGTGCTTCATATATTAGATTCTTCCTCAATGAGTAACGACAAAGTATCCTAGAGTATCTGATATGCCTACAAATCAGATATGAATACTTGACACAAATTAAAGTAGTGTATCAGAGGCTTCAAGTTTAACCAAAACCTTGCCTTTTGTTGCTTCCAAATTTAGTTATATAGGACATCCAAATCTGTGGAATTGGAACATGCCTGAACTGTGAAGAAGTGAAAGAACAACGGTTTGGCTAATAACAAGGATCCTCTCACGTTCTTTAGAAGATTAATAACAATGTATCTGTATATCTCTTCTTCCTTTATGGTTAGACTGTTTCCAGCCCCCTTGATTGTGCCGAAAATGATAATGTTGAACCTGCATATTGGAAGCTGGGTATAAGTGCGTCTAATATTTCATCATAAAAACTCAATTGTCTAATATTTCATCATAAAAACTCAATTGTCAGTTTTTATTGATTGCAGTTTTTCATTGAATTTGTTCATTTTGGTCTCGTGAAGTCAGTTCCCATTTTTGGAGATTAAAGTGAAGCTTTACTACTAAGGGCTTCATTGATTAATTTTTTGTGATTCGATAATAAGTTCCTTGACACTTTCAGGCAGGATCTTTATGCTATTTTGGGAATTTTTAGGGGTAGTCTGATTCAAAGTTTTTAATAACTGTATTGGTTCTCCTTTGTCCAGCAGAGTTAAATTAAAAAGAATATAAAACAGACAGTATTCTGCTCCTATCACTACCAGTGGAATTGGTTATTACAGATATTACCAAAAGGTCACTGTTCTTCTAGATGTTGAATTTGTAGATTTTTCGTAATTATTCTTAATTCCTGTATAATTAGCATTCCCTAAGTTTTACGATTGTTGGTAAATCTCTTGGATATTTTTAAAAATTTATTTGCCTTTGTAAAATGATAGTACTCAATTTATTGCTGTTTTTGTGAATGAGGCAGAAGGGTGATGCGATGAGGCAGGCTTTTGATCCTTCTTCTTTTGGTAATTCTCTTAATTGTGTATTTTTTTTTCATTGGGTTGTTACTATATTGAAATTTGAATTATCTATAACCCTTTTATCACCAATAGGTCCTTCCAAGATTCCATCTATAAAAATACCTGGAAAATTGGGGAATGGTACGTGGGAGGCTTTGTCTGGATCTGATTCCTACCATGCTTCATCTGATGCTAGCCTCTTTTCTAGCTCATTACCTGTACTTCCGCATGAAAAATGTATGTGATTGTTTTCCCAACTGTTGTGTCATTTGTATGCTCCGTTCTCCATTTCTAAAATCTATTGTTTTGGCTTTATTCATCTGCAGTGAACTTGAATGAAACTGAAAATGGTTATCAATCTGTTGATGACATCTCATCTGAATTTAAGAAGGTCCATCAAGATGCAGAGGGAGATGGTTCACTTGAAGATGGTGGTACTCATGCTGTTGGACCTGTGCTTCCTGATGACGAGGAGGAGCTTTTAGCTGGCATAATGGATGATTTTGACCTTAGTGGATTGCCTGGATCCCTTGAGGACTTGGAAGAGTATGATCTGTTTGGTAGTGGTGGAGGTATGGAACTAGAAACTGATCCGCAGGAAGGTCTCTCTGTGGGTATTTCTAAGTTAAGCTTTGCTGATAGTACTGTTGGCAATGGTTTGCCTCATTATTCTTTTCCTAATGGTGTGGGAACTGTTGCTGGAGAACATCCATATGGAGAGCATCCTTCTCGAACATTATTTGTTCGTAATATTAACAGTAATGTGGAGGACTCGGAGCTGAGAGCACTTTTTGAGGTAATGCAGACTAGAAATCTAGTGTAAACTTTTTTTCTTTGATATTTTAGTTTTCTACATATGCTTCCCTGAATACAAGTACAACTTATGGTGCTCATGATTCTTCACTGTTGCCTGGATAATTTGCAGATGTTTGTTTAGAAGAAATCCATTTGTAGCTAGACAAATTATTAATTGGGTTTCAATTTTTTTCAGCTATATGGTGATATTAGAACCCTATATACTGCATGCAAACATCGGGGTTTTGTTATGATATCCTATTATGACATCCGTGCTGCTAGAACAGCTATGCGAGCATTACAAAACAAACCTCTGCGGCGCAGGAAACTAGATATTCACTTCTCAATACCAAAGGTTATTTTCACCTTTCATAGTTGCTTTGGTTTATTCGTTTCCTTAATTGAATGCCTACACATTATAATCTCTTGGCTTTCTTTTCCCAGGATAATCCATCAGACAAGGATATAAACCAAGGAACATTGGTAGTTTTCAATCTGGATCCATCGGTTTCAAATGAAGACCTCCGCCAAATATTTGGGGCTTATGGAGAGGTCAAAGAGGTGATTATTTTATCTTGTTGCTTTGTGTATCCCTGCAACATGTGTGTTTGTGTTGTATTTTTAAGACTTCAGATTACTTATCTATGTTTCTGCAGATAAGGGAAACTCCTCACAAGAGGCATCACAAGTTCATTGAATTTTATGACGTCAGAGCTGCAGAAGCAGCTCTGAAATCATTGAACAGGAGTGACATAGCTGGTAAACGCATAAAGCTTGAACCTAGTCGGCCTGGAGGAGCTCGAAGAAAGTGCGTACATTAATAATGTTCTTGTTGCCTTTGTTTTGTTTGATGTCTTGCCGGCCGATTTTTTGTGCATGGTATAAATATAAGACAAAACTGATGAAATAAGTTATTGTTGACTGGAAGGCATTCCTTTAAAATGAGTTTCACCAAATCAACCATCAAATTAAGGGGTTTTGTAAGAACAAAGATTCTCATTCTCATTATGTTGAGGGCGGGCAAATTACCATTGATAGCTGTGCATACATAACTTCCATATTTGCCGCACTTGCTTTCTGGCATCATACACTAAACATAGACATATAACCATTAATTCTTTGCAACTTTTAGTTTGATGCTCCAGTTGAACCAAGAGCTTGATCAAGATGAATCTCGGAGTTTCCGATATCAAGTGAGTTCACCTGTAGCTAACTCTCCTCCAGGTTGGTTCTTTGAGATGCTCCATATCCACATATCCTTTGTATCATAAGCATCTATAAGTTGCATAGCATTTTGTTACTGACTACATAACCATGTTCCCCTTGTATATGTTCTCTCAAATCATATTAAGTTAATTTTTTTCATTAACAGGTAACTGGTTACAGTTCAATAGCCCTGTTGAGCAGAATTCAATGCAAAATATCAGTCATTCTCCTGGTTCTAGAATCCTGAGCCCAACAACAGGCAATCATTTACCTGGATTAGCTTCAATTTTACAACCACAGGTATCTAATACTGTGAAGGCTGCTGCTATTGGCAATGACTTGGGAAGAAGCAGTCAAGGAGAGAACATATTTACTGGTTTGAGTTCTTCACAAGGAGCTAGTTTTCAATCACATTCACTCCCTGAGCCAAAATTCAGCCAGTATCGTGGAGCGTTGTCCTCATTTGTGCCATCAACATCAAATGGATCCTCAGTGGAAACTTTGTCAGGGCCACAGTTTCTATGGGGAAGCCCAACCCTCTACTCGGAGCATACCAAACCTTCAGCTTGGCCAAGATCATCTGTGGGGCATCCATTTACATCGAATGGAAAGAGCCATGCCTTCCCATTTTCTACTCAGAATAGCTCTTTTGTTGGTTCATCACAGCATCATAACAATCATCACGTTGGCTCTGCTCCATCCGGTTTGCCTTTTGAGAGACACTTTGGTTTCCAACCCGAGTCATCTGAAACATCATTCATGAATAATGTTGGTTATGGAGGCATGAGTTTAGGGCACACAGATGGAAATTACATGGTTAATGTGGGTGGATCTGTTAATGCTAACATTACTATCCCAAGAAATATAACTGATAATGGGTCATCAAACTTCAGAATGAGATCTCCCAGGCTTAGCCCTGTGTACTTGGGAAATGGTCCTTATCCAGGACTTTTACCTTCCACTTTGGAGGGTTTGGCTGATCGTGCTCGGGGTAGATGGATAGAGAACAATGTGAGCCAGGCTGATAGCAAGAAGCAATTTCAGCTTGATTTGGATAAAATTAAAAGTGGTGAAGATACAAGGACTACATTAATGATAAAGAATATTCCAAACAAGTATGGTTAAGTCTGAAGTGTATTTATTAACCATATTTTCTTATTAGATGCCAAGATGATATATTAATTGTTCATTACCTGCAGATACACCTCAAAAATGTTATTAGCCGCCATTGATGAAAATCACAGGGGTACTTACGATTTTCTCTACCTGCCAATTGACTTTAAGGTAAATAATTTGCTCTTCCAGGAGTTGTTTATTATTCTTGTAAGTTGTTTGATAACATTTTTTTCAAACTTGTGAGGCTGATTATGGTTTTTTTTTCTTCTTACTGCAGAATAAATGCAACGTCGGCTATGCATTCATCAATATGCTGTCACCTTCTCTTATTATTCCATTCTACGAGGTTTTTATGGGAATATCTTATGCTCATTTTCTTTTGAATGTTTCTATTATTTTACTGAGTGAAAGTTTTCTACAAATAAGGTCACGGAGTCTGTATTTTCTTTATATTTGTTAAAATTAATTTTGCCGTTAATGATATCTTGGCATTTATTTAATCAAGAAAGAGTTATTAGAAAAGCTTTATGATATATTCCTCTTTGTTAAATGGCGCATTATTGGAAACACGGTTGATTTTACAGACATTCAACGGGAAGAAATGGGAGAAATTTAATAGTGAAAAAGTTGCTTCTTTGGCATATGCTCGAATTCAAGGAAAGACTGCCCTTGTGAGCCACTTTCAAAATTCAAGTTTGATGAATGAAGATAAGCGATGTCGTCCTATTCTTTTCCACTCAGAGGGTTCTGAAGCGGGTGATCTGGTAATTTTTGCACTGATTTAGCATTTCACATAAGAAATTCCAAAATGACGTTTGTTACTATTTCCTCCGTTATATTGTTATCATGAAAGTAAGATATATAATAATGTACTAAATGTCTATGAATCTTTTGTTTTCTCTTTTCCTCTGCTTCAGAAAATAGCCTAACTGCTGCAACTTTGTTCATACTTTCCTGTAGATTGTGCAAGAGCATCTTCCCGCCAACCCCAACAATGTAAACATTCAGGGACTAAGGTCAAGTGAGTTACATTCAAGTGATTTTGCAGGGAGCCCTCCAAACACAGACCCTTCTGCAAACTTGGATGCAAAATAGCGTAATTTATATTAGATGCAGAGTTGCTTAGTCCAAATGGGTTGGTGTTAAATGTTAACATTTGCAAATATGTCTCTGGTGCTGCATATATTTAGGAAGGATAACAGAAGGATGTAGATTTTGTACCATAGTTATTTTCCCAAGTATTTTGCCAGCAAGCTTTAGAAGCTTGGAGCATTTTGATTGATTTGCTGCACAGGTAGCTGATCTGATTGTGTACACATGGTGAAGGTGGTGGGAGCAAAGGCTGAAGAAGAGTTGAGCAAAGGGGTTTGTTTATCTCCAGTTTTTGCTCGTTTTTGCTTTTTGGTGTCTTGTCATCGACCATTTTTTTTTCCCTTTTCCTTTCTGAAAAATGTTAATATGGGGTAGAGTTAAGTTTGGTTGGAGTTGAAAGTTGGGAAGTTCAGGTGGGGTACAGATTGTATAGGGAGAAATAAAGACCTGTTTCTATGTTTCCTCTAATGATGTTTTAGCACTATTGAAAACCAAGTGTAAAACGCATATTTAAATATGATGCTGTACAAGTTGCTCACTATCTGAATCTGGAAATTCTTGTTTTGTCAGCATGTAGCATCTATCTTAATATGGCTTTCATCACAAAGTGTTCAACTTATTTTCATCCTTACTCATAATTTCAGCTATAACTTACTAAATTCCAACTTATTTTTTCTATCATTTTAGCAATGCATTATTATTACTATTATTATAAATTTCAAAAACTAGTTTCCAAAATGCACGTAATCAATATTAGTTTCCTATCTCCTCTTTTTGCAAGTTTTCCGTTCCCATGGATTCCATTTAAAGCCAAGAATGTATAAATTATGCATTACTAATTTCACTTAACAATTATGTCGATAAACTGTCTTTAATTCCTCAATTTTCATGAAATTTACTTTCATTTATTTCAAATTTCTTTTACTGGACGTAGTTTTTAAACTATTGTTTATCATTGTTTTTAATTTTTCATAGCAATAAAAAGTTATGTAACACTCCAAACTGATCATATAATTTGAAATTGCCATAAAATATTACAATAAAAATATAACATTTAGTGTTGATGAAAAGAAAATGTTAATTAATAACATCACAATCACGTTGCACATGTAAAAGACTCCAAAATTATGAATACTTTTGAAGTTCCACTCTTAAATATTGTTAACCATGTCCATCATTATGTTATAACAGATTTTTAATTAGAGTGCTTTGACCAGCACTTATTGGTGCAAATTAGACTTATACCAAACATAACATTTCTCACGCTTAAATTTGTGACTTTGGATTAAGACCGATCCACAATTCCTATTCTAACTTATCTAGGCAAACAAATTTTGTAAAATATAAAAAAAAGTTAAGGTCAATTTATAAGCTACTAACTTAAATAAGTACTAAATAATTATATCAATTTAAATAAATATTAAAACAAATCAAATTAACATCAATTTAATTGATATTAGTTTAAATAAATATAAATACTAAAATTAAAATTAAATTAAATATTTCTAGATGCTAATTTAAATAAATATTATAAATAAATTACACTAATATTAATGTAACCAATATTAACTTAAATAAATATTAAAAATGAATTAAAATAATTCGCCACTCATAACATGCGACATAGTAAAATATTGTTGGTTGAGAATATGTGTGATACACACCAGAGTATATGCAGTAAGCAAAATCAATAATCCAAAATACACACCAAGTTTATTTGCTCGAAAGTGCTTTTGGGCAAGAATATCAAGTTTCATCCCACTGTATAATGGCTAGGATTGATTTTGATGAGCAACTTTTATATCTTACTCCTTCTAAAAAAATGCTAAATTGGATGGTTTGAAGTATAAGTAAATTTCAACTATTTAAATTCAGCATGAAAGAATTGCAGGAATCTTTGTACCAAGATCAATTACTCTATAGGAACAGTAAATTTTTTTCAATACTGGTTCCCTTATTTATCCAATTAAGGTATTGACTTCTGTTTTCTCTATGAATTCCTAAGCTCCAAAAAGGAAAACAAAGTAAAGTGCATCTGCATGCAGTAACCAATTCTGCAGGGCAATACTGCAAGATTGCTTCTTATTTATACATAAAATATTACTATTACAAGTAATCATTAGCCATACTTATCCTTGGAGGAAGGGTCATACAATGTTCAAAATTCCTCTCAGCATTCTACTGTGTTACTGTAATATTTTTAAGCCAAACTAAAAAAGGGGTGTGTGTGTGTATCATATATATATATATAAGCATAAACTTCCTTGTAGTATAATAGGATGATATACCAGTGTTGACATGAGCAGTTGCCATATATCTGCCAAGCTTCAAAGCAAGATTTGAGACCTCTCTTTGCAAACCACCCTTCACACCCCTTTCACTAGTAAGAGCATCAAGAGAATAAAACTAATTTAACATGCTTGTCTCTGCATGCAAATTCTTTTGCCTTTCTTTTCTTGTTCTAATGTCAAGATCAATGAGAAAATAACACTTATTTTGTTCTCTTACGTAGTGGACATGACCACTCATCCTACTGAGGATTTTTCTGGACATGTATAGTCCTAGACCTTCCTGTGTATTCCATTGATTCCCTCCTTCAAACATATCATGAAGAACATCTGAAGGAAGACCTTGACCAGAATGTGTCATTCTGCAAGAAGAATACATGATCAAATGAGCCTCTAGTCTACACAGTAATCTAACATAGGTGACATATTCAAGTAACCATCACAACACTTGTAGCCTAAAACTATGTCAGTTTCTGAAATGTAAGATCACAACTACTCAAAGTTTGTGACAACTCTTGTATATCTTCAAAGTTTGTCTCACACTTGGAAAAGGGTGTTAAACATAAAACCACAGCTACTCAGGCATAAATTTCAAGTATAACAAAAATGGGAGAAATCAAGTATCCCCATGTAGAAAGTATACAATGAGTTCACATTCTCAACCAGGTTTTTTAATGTTGTCCTCTGCTGAACATTAAAATACACTGATGTTAGTACTTTAAAAATCTTTTTAATATGTTTTAAAATCTCAAAATCAATGTCCATCAGTGTAGTTTGAAGGTACAACAGAGAAACAGCCAGAAGAACCCAGCAGAGAATCCAAATTGGTAAATCCCCAGAAGATAACAGTGATAAATTCTTGGTTTTTGTACCTGAACTTCAGATGGATAAACTCATTGCCATCCTGTATTATCTTTAAACCAGGTGAAATCTTGATTTCTACCCAGCCATTTGGAGATGGTGTATGGCTGACTACATTAAGCAAAAAGTCAGACAAGACCACCTGAAGCCTAATTTGGTCACCATATAAAGAAAGCACTTTTATTTCATCAGGAATTTCATGAAACAGTTGCAAGTTCTTTTCTCTTATCAATATCATGACTTGACTGACAATGGCATCTAAAATATTTCCCAGAACAAATTCTTCCATGTTTAGCTGCAAAGTGCTGCTAGCATTAGCATAAGATATGAAACATATAGTCAGTCTTATTGAATATCAGTGTATAATCGAAGGACGAAAAAGGAAAGTACTACTCCAAGAGAGAATTTCAGCCTACCAAAACACAACAAAAACTCTTACCCTTCATTAATACTTCCTAAATTTGTATCCTCAATAATTGCCATGATTTGTCTTTCACATGCATCACTGGTGTCAAGAAATTGTTTTTGGTTTTCTGAAACAGTTGTACTTTCCAAAAGTTTGTGCGTGAATCGTATGCCATTTAAAGGTTTCTTCATCTCTTGTAGTATATAAGCTAACTCTTTCGATTCAGAAATGTTTTCTCTGCCTCTTGGCTTGTGTTCTTCAGATGACTGATTCAGGTCTGGCGTTACAACCTGCAAGAAGCAAAAACAGCCAAGTATATTCCCACCAGCATCAATTCTCTTGTTTGCTGTTATATAACTCTCCACAAATTCTCCATTTCTATCAAAAAATCCAAATGGTAACTTCTCAGAATCTTGACCACTGATTCCACGGTATATTAAAATCATAAAATTAGTCAGGGTATCTTGACCTTTTAGTCGACAAAAACTTCCAAATATTTCACCAGGAAGCAATTTTCCTATGACTTCATCTCTTTTCCAACCAGTTAGCCTTTCCATGGCTGCATTCCATTCAGAACAGCAGGCACTCTCATCAGAAGAAAATATGGGTGGAATCAGTGGACTGAGACTCTGCACTATTGCTTTGTAATCACCTTCCAACTTGATGAATTTATCTTGAACCATTTTCTCATAAGTGATGTCTTGACCTACAAAGCATACCCCAACAACAGAATCTGTGTAGTCCCTACTAGTGCAAGCATTGACCATGAGATATACAACTTTCTGTTGCTGTTGAAGCCCAAAGTGCTTTATTTTCAACTCAACACTTTTGTCCTCCTCTCCTGCAAAAACTATCAATTCATTGCTATGAATACTTAACTTTCAGGGAGAACGAATCAAAATAAGACTGCAATATAAACATTATCTTACATATTCAATTATATAAGACTAGTCATTAAATTTTACACTCCAATGAAAAAATGATAGCACAACCTAAAAAACATGAACATTTGATTGTCCAGATCTTTATATAGTACATAAATTGAATATTTCAAACCAACGTGTGGAATCAAATTCTAAAAGACCTACAAAGAATGTTTTTCCCCCACAATGAATTGTTAATAACATTTGAGAGTTAGTTAAGTGAACACTCTAAATCTACTATCTTTTCTACAACAACTGATTTACCTTGCAAGGCTCTGCGTAGAGTATTTTTAAAAGTGTCACATGAGTCCGCATGTATAATTTCATTTACCATGGATTTCCCCATAGCTAAAATGACTTGTAAACCTGTCAGTTCAGCAATCTTTGAATTCCATCCATTGATTACAACACCTGAATCAACCCCAAAAATCGGAACTGTTGCAGTCTCGATTAATCTCACCATTTCAAGTGCTACTGAACTGAGTTCATCCATCGCTCCAGTTGAAGTGTCAGTTTTCTGCACATAGTTTGAAGGCTTTGGACCGGTGATCTCAGTGTCTTGGAAAGAATCTCTGATCATTAGTTGTAATGAGTGAATGGCATTGATTTCTGACACTTCCCAAGGCAAACTTTTGCTTTTGACTACTTCAAGAAAAGCTTTGAATGATGATCTTGGGTTCATTTTTCCTCCATCATCCCTATCCTCTGGATGGTGCTTGGCTCCTCCCCATTTGACTTCCTTAGCAGTGTGAGACCTGAACCAGAACAAGAAATGTTTTGAATTGATTCTTGCCGTGGCCATGCCACAAACCGCATCACCCAGTGAAGCAGCACCTGGATAACCAGCATCAGCTAAACTATCTGTTGTCAAACCTGTTGAATCCCCATGATTACTAAGTAGCCATTCTGCAATGTCTTTTACCTGTGCTTCAGTTGGGGATGTACCTAACAACCAGCATATTCCATCATAAAATAAGGCAGCCCCATCACACTTCACAAGATCCATGATACTTGGAGACTGAGTCACAATGCCGAATGGTGCATCACGAAGGAGCATGTCACACAGTAAGGTTTGAGTTTTAAGCATTCTCTTTTCCGCCATTTGTGATGCCAATTGAATCTCCATATAAAGTTGCAGTCCAAAAGCCTGCATTAGGAACTCACAAGCATAGCGAACCGGGAAAGAAACATAACGTGGTGAAGTGTGATGACAAACTAGCAAACCCCAAAGCCTTGTTTCATTCTTTCCATTGACTATAATTGCCATCACCAGAGAAGCAATTGATCCCATGTTGGCCATGTACTGTGTGTGACAACCATGTGGTAACCTAAGTGTTGAATTCACCAAGCAAAGAGGTTGCCTTAATTCTTCACTCTGAATGACCTTAACTGGCTTTGCATGGCAATCACAAATAATCCTAACCCGGTTCTGCTTGAACAAGAAGCGAGAAGCTTGAGGGATATCTGTGGCAGGATAATGTAAACCCAGGTAAGGCTCCAAATCCGACCTCCTAATCTCAGCTACAACTTCACCATGATCATCCTCATGAAACTTATAAACCATTACCCTGTCATATCCAGTAAGCTTATGCACTTCCTCAACAACTGCGTCACACAACAAGCCAATATCTTCCCCAGGAAGAGATTGCAGCCTTGAAATAGCCCTCACAGCCAGCTTCTGTGATTGAACTGCCCCGGCAAGTGACAATGCTGGATCACTCAACCGCGCAGGCTCCAAATCAATCACAACCCCAACATCGATCCTATGCAGTATGGCATAAAATGGCTTCTGGGTTGTCCTTGCATAGACCCAAATCGGGTTCAGAAGAGAAATTTCCCTGGAAGCCACAGCTTTAGCTAGGTAACCCCCAGAAGCTGGAGTGAAAAGGGTTGTTGCATCAACCCCAATCAAATTTATTAACATCTTAGAGTCAATTTGCCTCTCCAAACCCAACAACTGAAAGCAATTCTCACTGTACCCAATGATCCTAAAAGTGGGTTCCTCAATTGCAAGCATACAACCAAAGGGTTGGATAAGGCCACCCCTTTGGATTTTTGACAGATATGCAGTCATTTTTTCTCCAGACACTAACCTGGGAGGATCAAGGACCATCCTGGAGTAGTCAAATGATTTGCCAGACACACCAGACTGCTCAAATTCAGCCAGAATCTCAGCATCTGCACTGTACTGAGCCAGTACCTTGTCCCTCCTGCTGTTCATGTTGCTTTCAGCTGATGTGCTCAAGCTTGTATCTTTCAGCTTCCCTCTGCTTCCAAAGCTCATTTTCAAGGCTGTTCGACAAAAAGCCAAATGTGTTTGCTTACCTTGTATTGCACCTTCTATGAACCCAGTTCGATTCTAGCTTTTTTACTTGTGTGGTTTGTGAAGGAGATATATACACAAACATATTAGATACCCTCAACACGAAAAATCGAAAGGATAGTTTTTATTCAAAGTGCATTGTTCTTCTGTTGTGTTAAACCGACAAGGAATTGCCCTATGATGTGCACCTCAACTCACCCCACTTAATGTCTCTCCTATGTTGTTTTCGTTCAGTCCAACTCAAGCTTATTTCTACCCTCTCTTACTTTTACTGCCAAAGACATAATAACTAAGCACAAATTCCTTAGCCAGCCAGTTTCCACAGTAATTCTAGGAAAACATTCACAACTTGGTTAACTTGGAAATCTTCACTTAGTTTATTTGTCAAAAAGACAAGATCCTATGATTTCATCTTCTCACTTCACCACTTCAGTGTTACTTTTCCATCTTTTTCCACCAATCCAAGAAAACCCCAGAGGATGGAGTAGGGGACAGACTCAGACTCATGGTGTAATCTTGCAATATTGTGTTTGCTTTTGGAGCAAAATCATTCTTTTAATGCTTAGTCACCGCATAACATTGCTTCTTCTCCACTCACAAATTCAAATTCTAGAAACAATTTTCAGCTTGTAATCACCATTACTTAAAATTTAACAGCTTTTAAAGTTATTTTCTGTTTTATTCCAACTACAACTTTTGTCCTTGATAATGGAGATTATAAACCACAATGTTATTCTACACTTCTGTATTTACTTCAAGAGATTAATAACTTTATCTTTATGAACTTCCTCACAGAATGGTTGAGATGCCCCATGAATGGATTAAATTATATAATCACATTTTGCTTCAATCAATGTAATTGAGTTAAAAATACTATGAAACACTAAACTTCATCATTGGTTTGAGGTTGTGTAAATAAATCTGTGTCGGTGATTTGAAGGNTTCACCAGGAAGCAATTTTCCTATGACTTCATCTCTTTTCCAACCAGTTAGCCTTTCCATGGCTGCATTCCATTCAGAACAGCAGGCACTCTCATCAGAAGAAAATATGGGTGGAATCAGTGGACTGAGACTCTGCACTATTGCTTTGTAATCACCTTCCAACTTGATGAATTTATCTTGAACCATTTTCTCATAAGTGATGTCTTGACCTACAAAGCATACCCCAACAACAGAATCTGTGTAGTCCCTACTAGTGCAAGCATTGACCATGAGATATACAACTTTCTGTTGCTGTTGAAGCCCAAAGTGCTTTATTTTCAACTCAACACTTTTGTCCTCCTCTCCTGCAAAAACTATCAATTCATTGCTATGAATACTTAACTTTCAGGGAGAACGAATCAAAATAAGACTGCAATATAAACATTATCTTACATATTCAATTATATAAGACTAGTCATTAAATTTTACACTCCAATGAAAAAATGATAGCACAACCTAAAAAACATGAACATTTGATTGTCCAGATCTTTATATAGTACATAAATTGAATATTTCAAACCAACGTGTGGAATCAAATTCTAAAAGACCTACAAAGAATGTTTTTCCCCCACAATGAATTGTTAATAACATTTGAGAGTTAGTTAAGTGAACACTCTAAATCTACTATCTTTTCTACAACAACTGATTTACCTTGCAAGGCTCTGCGTAGAGTATTTTTAAAAGTGTCACATGAGTCCGCATGTATAATTTCATTTACCATGGATTTCCCCATAGCTAAAATGACTTGTAAACCTGTCAGTTCAGCAATCTTTGAATTCCATCCATTGATTACAACACCTGAATCAACCCCAAAAATCGGAACTGTTGCAGTCTCGATTAATCTCACCATTTCAAGTGCTACTGAACTGAGTTCATCCATCGCTCCAGTTGAAGTGTCAGTTTTCTGCACATAGTTTGAAGGCTTTGGACCGGTGATCTCAGTGTCTTGGAAAGAATCTCTGATCATTAGTTGTAATGAGTGAATGGCATTGATTTCTGACACTTCCCAAGGCAAACTTTTGCTTTTGACTACTTCAAGAAAAGCTTTGAATGATGATCTTGGGTTCATTTTTCCTCCATCATCCCTATCCTCTGGATGGTGCTTGGCTCCTCCCCATTTGACTTCCTTAGCAGTGTGAGACCTGAACCAGAACAAGAAATGTTTTGAATTGATTCTTGCCGTGGCCATGCCACAAACCGCATCACCCAGTGAAGCAGCACCTGGATAACCAGCATCAGCTAAACTATCTGTTGTCAAACCTGTTGAATCCCCATGATTACTAAGTAGCCATTCTGCAATGTCTTTTACCTGTGCTTCAGTTGGGGATGTACCTAACAACCAGCATATTCCATCATAAAATAAGGCAGCCCCATCACACTTCACAAGATCCATGATACTTGGAGACTGAGTCACAATGCCGAATGGTGCATCACGAAGGAGCATGTCACACAGTAAGGTTTGAGTTTTAAGCATTCTCTTTTCCGCCATTTGTGATGCCAATTGAATCTCCATATAAAGTTGCAGTCCAAAAGCCTGCATTAGGAACTCACAAGCATAGCGAACCGGGAAAGAAACATAACGTGGTGAAGTGTGATGACAAACTAGCAAACCCCAAAGCCTTGTTTCATTCTTTCCATTGACTATAATTGCCATCACCAGAGAAGCAATTGATCCCATGTTGGCCATGTACTGTGTGTGACAACCATGTGGTAACCTAAGTGTTGAATTCACCAAGCAAAGAGGTTGCCTTAATTCTTCACTCTGAATGACCTTAACTGGCTTTGCATGGCAATCACAAATAATCCTAACCCGGTTCTGCTTGAACAAGAAGCGAGAAGCTTGAGGGATATCTGTGGCAGGATAATGTAAACCCAGGTAAGGCTCCAAATCCGACCTCCTAATCTCAGCTACAACTTCACCATGATCATCCTCATGAAACTTATAAACCATTACCCTGTCATATCCAGTAAGCTTATGCACTTCCTCAACAACTGCGTCACACAACAAGCCAATATCTTCCCCAGGAAGAGATTGCAGCCTTGAAATAGCCCTCACAGCCAGCTTCTGTGATTGAACTGCCCCGGCAAGTGACAATGCTGGATCACTCAACCGCGCAGGCTCCAAATCAATCACAACCCCAACATCGATCCTATGCAGTATGGCATAAAATGGCTTCTGGGTTGTCCTTGCATAGACCCAAATCGGGTTCAGAAGAGAAATTTCCCTGGAAGCCACAGCTTTAGCTAGGTAACCCCCAGAAGCTGGAGTGAAAAGGGTTGTTGCATCAACCCCAATCAAATTTATTAACATCTTAGAGTCAATTTGCCTCTCCAAACCCAACAACTGAAAGCAATTCTCACTGTACCCAATGATCCTAAAAGTGGGTTCCTCAATTGCAAGCATACAACCAAAGGGTTGGATAAGGCCACCCCTTTGGATTTTTGACAGATATGCAGTCATTTTTTCTCCAGACACTAACCTGGGAGGATCAAGGACCATCCTGGAGTAGTCAAATGATTTGCCAGACACACCAGACTGCTCAAATTCAGCCAGAATCTCAGCATCTGCACTGTACTGAGCCAGTACCTTGTCCCTCCTGCTGTTCATGTTGCTTTCAGCTGATGTGCTCAAGCTTGTATCTTTCAGCTTCCCTCTGCTTCCAAAGCTCATTTTCAAGGCTGTTCGACAAAAAGCCAAATGTGTTTGCTTACCTTGTATTGCACCTTCTATGAACCCAGTTCGATTCTAGCTTTTTTACTTGTGTGGTTTGTGAAGGAGATATATACACAAACATATTAGATACCCTCAACACGAAAAATCGAAAGGATAGTTTTTATTCAAAGTGCATTGTTCTTCTGTTGTGTTAAACCGACAAGGAATTGCCCTATGATGTGCACCTCAACTCACCCCACTTAATGTCTCTCCTATGTTGTTTTCGTTCAGTCCAACTCAAGCTTATTTCTACCCTCTCTTACTTTTACTGCCAAAGACATAATAACTAAGCACAAATTCCTTAGCCAGCCAGTTTCCACAGTAATTCTAGGAAAACATTCACAACTTGGTTAACTTGGAAATCTTCACTTAGTTTATTTGTCAAAAAGACAAGATCCTATGATTTCATCTTCTCACTTCACCACTTCAGTGTTACTTTTCCATCTTTTTCCACCAATCCAAGAAAACCCCAGAGGATGGAGTAGGGGACAGACTCAGACTCATGGTGTAATCTTGCAATATTGTGTTTGCTTTTGGAGCAAAATCATTCTTTTAATGCTTAGTCACCGCATAACATTGCTTCTTCTCCACTCACAAATTCAAATTCTAGAAACAATTTTCAGCTTGTAATCACCATTACTTAAAATTTAACAGCTTTTAAAGTTATTTTCTGTTTTATTCCAACTACAACTTTTGTCCTTGATAATGGAGATTATAAACCACAATGTTATTCTACACTTCTGTATTTACTTCAAGAGATTAATAACTTTATCTTTATGAACTTCCTCACAGAATGGTTGAGATGCCCCATGAATGGATTAAATTATATAATCACATTTTGCTTCAATCAATGTAATTGAGTTAAAAATACTATGAAACACTAAACTTCATCATTGGTTTGAGGTTGTGTAAATAAATCTGTGTCGGTGATTTGAAGGACAACGAAACGATGAAGTGAAAACTGAATGGACAGAAGACGAAGGTGAACCACAAAAATCTGAGATAAGAAATGCCAATACGGTCCTTCTGTCTTTGTTTCATGGTTTGCGAAATATGACCACACATGTTTTCACTGTGAAAAGATGTTTCATTATTCATAGTTGGAGATGGAAAATACCCAAATAGATACAATTTTATTTGTGTTATTATATGTTTTTTACTTAATTCTTCTCTAGAACAAATAAGAAAACTTTTTCAGAACAACTTTTGATAAATATATTTTTTCTGATTATCTTGATGAGTATTTGAAATGTTCTTCACACAATGAGAAATCAAAAGTTGAATTGACTTGACGGATTTATTTAAGTGGTTGAGAATTGAGGTTTTTGCATCCACTTTTTTTTATCCATGGATCTACTTTGGATTTATCTATTTATGGCGTATTCCACCCAACATGGTCTTTCACGTCATGCAATTGGTGAAACTAAGGTTTTCTTTTTCCCCAATAAGGTTGTCCCAGAGAAAATTATTCCAACTTTTATTTCTATACTTATTGAAATGGTACAGATTTTTAAGTTGGAATTCAGTGCCCAGAAATTCGGTTTCTGGTATTTGTTTAGTTTGATAGGTTCTAAAAAATCAGTAAGAATTAGATTACAGGGGAGTTAAATTTCGAGTTTCATTTTAACTTATCTTTAAAATAAAATAAATGATAAAATATTAAATTAATTAATTATATGAAAAATAATTTAAATTTTAATTGATGAGAAAATATATTTCAATTAAGTGGAATAAATATTTTAAATTTCATAAATAAATTTAAATTGATGAGAGAAGTGCTAAAGATGTATTTTGATGATAATTAGTATTATATTTGTGCGTACGGATTTTTTAAAATCAATTTATAAAATAATAATAATTATTATATTTAAATAAATATTATTTATATAATTCTATTAAGTGTTATAATTATATATAATTATAAATATAATATTTATGCAAAGAGTTTGATAATACGAAAAAAATAATAAATTAATTAAAAATAAATAATATTATTTTAATATTGATATCTTTATTATCTCAAAGTGATTGAATTATAGAATAGAAAGCAAAACTGATAAAACCAATAATAATAATAATAATAATAATAATAATAATAATAATAATAATAGCAACAATAATAATACAAATAATTATAATAATAATTAAAAATAATATTTGAATATAAATTTATTTTTTAATTATAAAATTGATATAATAATTTATTAATCAAAACGAATCTCTTTTTTCAAAATTAGAGAGTCAATTTAATGAAAACTATTGGTAATATCTTTAGAAAATTATATAACATAATATAATATATAATAAACTATTATATTAGTTTGACATAATATTAATTTTATAATTTGAGAAGAATAATAGTTATTTGATTATTTGTCATAATTTTATTTCTGTGTCATATAATTATGAAAAGTACAATTGATTTCGTTATCTAATATAGTATTACTGTAAAAATTACCTATATACTTATCAATTTTTTTTATTATTTTTTCAGTCGCATGCAGACTATTATCTGATTGACAAAAAATATTATTATTGTATATTGTAATAATTTTGTTTATATATGTCATATCATCGTAAAAAAGTACAAACGACTTGGTTATTAAAATAAGTTGATATTACGTAGAAGGATAAAAAAATGTTCATAAGTTATTAAGTGATAATGTGATATTAGATACATAAATTAATGATTGGTATTTTACTTTGTTGTAAGTTTATTTATTGTTAATGATTGAATTTGTTTATGTTTATGTGCAGATTTTCAATTATATATTAAGCTTTGAAAAAACAATGTACTAACATATAATTAATGTATATTTTAATATTAAAGTATGCACCACCTATAACATTTCTATAATTAATGTATATTTTAATTCCAACCATCAAAGTTCATTCTATAATTTGGTCAATTTTGTTAGATTTTAGACTTAAGAATTTAGAAATTAAAGTATTGAAGTTAATAGGTGTTTTAAAATAATAAGACTGAGTATTTTAATTTTAAAATAATTCAATAATATAAATGAAATTTTTTAAACTCGTTTTATTACTTAAAACACAAATTCTCTAAAAACTCGTTTCTTGAGTTCCTCTGTATTTTTTCTAAGAAATCTAACTCATCGATTATCTATTTGACGATTAGGAAATGCCTAGGAGATTACGACTGAGTAATATCCGTTCTTATCTAATTAGTTTTTGGTATAAAACAAGTAAGTTTTGATTTTTTTTCTTTCGTTCTTAGGTTGAAATCCTCCATGTTGATTCCATGTCTCATGTGTCTTATGTTATCCTTTTCTAGTTTTTTTTATTAATCTAAGGTCATAAAGACTCACTCCGATCACAATTTGTGATTTGTAGGCATTTCTAGAGTTCCTTGCATTTGAAGTAATAGTTGGACGTTCTTAAAGCCATAGTAGTTCTTTGTGAGGTAAGGGAAACTTTTAAATTCAGAAGTGTGAATGATAGTTGTTAGCTGTTTGATTATGATTTGGGATGATTGTTTTAGTGATAATTATGTATGATGAGTATGTTTGATAAATTGATTGCATGTTATTATGAATTGTAGTGAATTGAACTAAATGATCTTGTGTATGTTGTTGTTTTGAAGTATATTGGTGTGAGGTTGGTGTAATATTGAGAAGTAAGAATTTTGTTTGAGTTAGAAGTTAGTTTTTAGTCTAAAAATTGGGTTTTAATTGTGAAAAGTTAAGATAATGATCAAATAAGAAATTTTGTTTTTGGGTCTAAGTTATAGTCATTTAGGACTTGTTTAGACTTGGAGTTAAGAGAAATCCGATCTACGATGAGTTAATAGTACTTTAATGGTGTTTTGGTTGGTTTTAGAGGCATTTTGGGGGTTTGGAATGGTGAAATTTTGAATTATAGATTATGTGTCAAATTGGTTAGTTTAAAGGGTGTTGTCAAGTCATTTTTAACTTATTAAAGTCCCTAATCTACCTAAAAATGAGCTAGAACATGTAGAATGCAATTTTGGTCTGAAATGGAAGAGTTTAGTTGTTTTTAAGTTAAAACCTTGTTGTAGCATTGTTAATAATTAGTGAAGTTGGGTTATAAACATTGGTTGGAGTCTATAGAAGTTTAGAATTCAGTCTAGGAGTGTTAAAAGTTCATAAAAGTGGTTAGAAGAGGTTATGGGTGGAATAGGAGTGCTAATTATGTATTTTTTGTGCGACAAAATTTCGCAGTTAGGCTGAGCGAGCAAAATTTAATTATTTATTTCTTTGTGTTTCAATATTATTAGTTAACGCTTTTTTTTATGGTATTGTGGATGGAGATAAAGAATATGTTTCAAGGGAGCAAAATATTATGGATTTATTCATTCAAGACTCTGATCTTATAAATGGATAAGTGATTCAAAAATGATCGATATTAGAAACTTATTTGTTCACTTTTTATGTTTGCTTTTGGATTACATTGGGATTGTATAATACATTTCTTTTATTTTGAATTGTCTTTGGAGTTTAACATCATTTTAGAGTGAAATTTATTTAGATTTGAATTAACAAAAAAATATAATGTTTTTTGGATTTAAAAAAATTCTTGTAATTAAGTGAGCGAGTACAACTCGTTTAATCCACCAACTTGTATTGGGTGAGACCGAGTTCAAATTTTTTCGACTCTCTAATAAGTGAATCAGGTTAGACTGGCTCAATAAGTAATCAACTCGTAGTGAGTCGGACAAGATCAGACCGGACTACCCGTTTTGATAATATTAATTTTGAACTTAATGTGCATATAAAGTTGTTTTTTATGATTATGTTAAATAAATGTAATGAAATTTTATAATTTCTCTTGTTAAATTGTTCTATTTTATTAATGATGTGATTGTTTTTGTATAGTTTTAATACTATTTAATTTAATTGGAATGTTAACTTTATCGAGATTAATGAATATGCTATTTAATCTCACTATGGTAACTTTGTTGTTAACACTTCATATGACAGTCAAAATATTTGGCTGCTAAAAGACTTATAAGATTATAAAGAAACAATTTCCTTAGCAGAGAATCCATATGTAATATTTGTCATGCTATTAAACAAAAGAAACTTTCTTTTCTTGTCAGTGATTCTTATGTTGAACTACCTTTTTATCTCATCCATGTTGGGGTGGAAGAATAGCGAGGGTATGGAGAACGAACGTCCGTAACCGAACACTATGAACACATAGAGCACTGTAGCGTAGACGACCAAGAACGACCCAGCAAGAACACGAACAACACCGAACGGTTAAGCCCTTTACACCGAACAGTCAAGGAGGTGAATAGAGAAAAAGAGAGTAAAACTCAAACACAATGAAATTTGTATTATTCAGTAATCTCAAGAGATAAACTCTTTATAAGCACAGAAGTCCAATATTTATAAAATGAA